AAATGTATTTAGTACACGGTCTCACTACACAGATTGGAGGGCCAAGGAGATGGCTCAGTAGACTAAGCGCTTGCCTGGCAAGCACAAGGTCCTGAGTTCAATCCCTGGTTCCACATCCCAAAAATAACTAACTAAATAAAAAATAAAACAGACTGGACTCAGTGATCCTCCTGTTTTCAGCCTCCCAAGCGCTGGGATTACAGGTGGGCCCCACCACTCCCAGTCTCAATTGCTGTCTCAGCGCACCCTGGTGGCTGGCCGACATAATTGAACCTTGTCCCTGTGTTTTGCCTAAGCTGGCACTTTAGTCTGCTGAGCTACCTAGCTGGCCCCTCTCTTTTCATTTATAATGTAAAAGGTAAGCTCCACTGGGACAAGGAGGTTTTTTTTTTTTTTTTTTTTTTTTTTTTTTTTTTTTTTTGCCTAGATTTTTATCTGAACTAGGGGTGGTGGTGCACAACTGTAATCCCAGCACTTGGGAGGTTGAGACAGGAGGATCTCTGAAAGTTCGAGACCAGCCTGGGGGCTACAAAAGCGAGCACAAGGCCAGCCCAAACTGCATGGCAAGACCCTGTCTCCAAAAACAAGAAAACCTAGATGAATGTGTGGCGCACAAATATGTGCTAAATAATGAGGTTATACCTGAAAAGACGTTAACAGTTAGTTGGGATGTAGCGAGTAGTATGAAAAAAAAAGACCCAACCTAACTCTACTCTTCCTTTAAGGGATTAGAAGGAGTCCTACATTAGTTAAATCCTGTTAAGAAGCTAAACTGGTGCTAGTCAAGCCTAACACTACAAATCCCAAGAAGCCTCGCGATACCAGAGCCTTAGTTCCCAGTGTGCCCCGCGCCGTCAGCGTTACTTGGCGTACACTTTTCAGGAAGCGCCCTGCCTTGACGTTGGTTTGTTTCCGGAAATGCGGCCCCAGGAAGGCGGGACTTAAGGTTGGGAGCTTCCAGCAACAGCTGCCAATTGGTCAGAGAAAGAGATTGAGGGATCTATTGACTAATGGAAAGAATTGACTGCTGAAAGGTCCCACCCATAGAGGGCGTAGGGAAGTGGCCTCCTCAGCAGTCACTACTGGACAGTGCTCGGGCCGGAGGGCTATCCGTACTCGGAGCTTACCTTTGACCTCTGCCGCCCGCCTCCGGACTCTAGCCTCTCTGGGGCTTTTTCGAACTAGATAGCCAGACTCCGGACCAAAGCATGTTCCCGGTGAAGGTGAAAGTGGAAAAATCAGGTGAGGACCCCTTAGGCCCGGGCCCTGTGCGAGAGGCACTGGCCGATTAAGATTTGGGAGGCTCGGCAGACAGCGTTGTCCTGAGAAGGCAACTACGTGACTTCCCTGCAACCCATCTGACAAGCGCTGTATCAGGCAGCGAGCTTTTTGCTGCCACCTTCTCACTCCCAGACTGCTGGTAGAAGCTCAGAGATTGAAAGGCGGTCTGGTGTGATTAAAGGTGGGCATCCCAAGCTAGTGACTGAAAAAGGCATTTTTCTTGTCTCCACCCCAGTTTCCATGTTTCTGGAAGTAGTCCTGATTTGGGGATTGTGTTACGACCCTGAAGTACATGGACTCTTAAATCCTCACAATCACTATATTTCAATAAACTTAGAAAGAAGTGCAGTTGGTGAGGAAACTAAAGCTCTGAGTTAAGGCAGAGTTGATGGAAACCCAAGACCAGAATGGTAAGTGTAGTGGGGTGGAAGCATGTAGGATGTTAGATGGAGTAATTGGGATGTCAGATAGGTTTAGAACAAAGCAAGGCAAGAGCTGGATCCAGTAACCTGAGTCTAGCCTCAGCTACTCTGGTGTCTGAGCCAGGAGCATCATTTGATCCCAGGAGTGCAGGGCCTTCCTGGGCAACATAGTGAGATCCTGCCTCTTGAGTTTGAGGAGGGTAAAAAAAACTCCCTAGATGTGAGAAGGTAAGGAGATCTGGAGTAGGGCAAGATGTGGGAAAGCCACGAAGGCTTATGAAGGAACAGCCAGTGAAGCAATGGAAGTAGCTTTGTTTTTTTTGTTTTGTTTTGTTTTAAGAACTTTTTAAGGGGCTGGAGAGATGGCTCAGTGGTCTAAAGCACCTACTTAGAACAAGCTTAGCAAAGCATCGGGACCCCGGTTCAATCCCCCAGCACCACATGCCAGCCAGCCCCGCCCCCTGGTGGGCTGAGCTGGCCATACACACACACCTCTCTCTCTCTCTCTCTCTCTCTCTCTCTCTCTCTCTCTCTCTCTCTCCCTCTCTGTCTCATCATCTGTCTGTCTGTCTGTCTGTCTGTCTGTCTGTCTGTCTGTCTGCCTATCTGTCTGTCTGCCATCTGTCTGGCCTTAAGGATAGATGTGAAGATTGTATTCTCATAGTATCTGAAGGTGAGCATGCAGGAGCACTGGTTGTGGGCAG